CCGCCGCTGCCGCCGCCACCGTCGGGCGCGGCCGCGAACAGCCGCGCGAAGCAGGCGGACAGATATGGCACAACCACCTCCCCGTGTGCGTGCACCGCCGCCTTGAACAGCACCAGCTCCCCCTCCCCCAGCGGCCGCGCCGCGCGGTGCTGCGCCAGCGCGCCCGCCGCGCGCTCGAGCGAGGCCTGCAGCAGCGCTGCCATCGGGCGGCGGAGCGCGAGCAGGCTGCAGTGGCGGATCTCGTTGAGCGCGGACAGTACGCCGTTGGTCAAAACGGCGAGCGGCAGGTTCTCCATCAACGCATAGGGCGGCGACAAGTCGTCGCCTGCGCCGCCGCCGCCGCCGCCGTTGGCATTGCCTTCCGCCCGCTGCGCCGCCTGCTCGCCGCCCGGCGGCCCGGCTTCGCCGCCGCCGTCGGATCTCTGTTGCTGTTGCTGCTGCTTGAACATGGGCGCCGGCATGGCAACCCACTTGTGGCTGTCCAGGCGCGAAGTGAAGGCGTCGACGGCGACTGCCAGGCAGCTGCCAAACAGCTGCAGCGTCACAAGCTCCAGCACCGGCGCCAACAGCGCCTGCAGGTGCACGCCAGGCCGTCATGCAAAGAGGAAGCGATTGCAACAATGAGGCGCAAGGATATCGCGCCTTGTGTTATTGCATCCCAAAAAGCGCAGGGCCTGATCTCAAGACAGGCGTTTGTGGCCCTTCACTCAGCCGCGCCCGGCCCGCGGCCCACGCGTGCAGGAGGCGGCGCACGGGGCCAGGGCCTCGCAACGGCCACCCCATCAGCCGCACACCGAACGGCGCCCGACAGCTGTTTCAGACCTCTGCCCCTCAGCAACGCGAGTCTGACCGCGTTGCTGTGGCGGCCCTGCCAGCCACCCCGCACACCCACGCACCCGGAAGTCCAGCCCGACCCTGCTGAGGGACGCCCCGCAGTAGTTGCAGTGCTCCAGCACCGACGCCAGCCCGCCGCCCTCGGTCACGTTGGGGAGGTGCGCGCGCAGCGCCGCCAGGTAGGCCGCGACGCGGTGCTGCACCCAGCTGTGCAGCGCCGCGCTGTCCCGCGCGCCGGCCTGCGGCTTGCCCTCCTGGATGCAAAAGGGGTGGGGTGGTGGTTGGCAGTGGCGGGCCAGCAGTGGGGGCGCGGACGACACAAACAGGGACGCGCTGCTGGCTGTGACAGCGCGAAATGAATAGGACGAACGGCATTTCTGACAGCACGGCAGAGTTGCCGCGCTGTCGCTGGTCACAGGGGTCTTGCCCCTGGGATGCAGACTGGCGAGGACCCGCCCCGCGAAACACAGCCACGTTGAGGTAAGGCGAGGTAGCGGGGGCGTGTACTGCTGCTGCCAACCTGCGGCGCGTCGAAGAAGATGGCCCTGTACTGCATGAGTACGTCGAACATGTTGAGGCGGTACACGTCGGTCAGCGCCTTGACGTACTCGTAGCTGTCCCCCTCATCCAGCTCAGCGACCAGGCCGGAAAACCTGGTGCAATGGCATTGCAGTCCGGATGGATGGTTGGTCAATCAGCCGGTTGATTGGGTGGTCAATTATTGGTTAGTCGGTTGCTTGGTTGGTCGAATAGACATTCTTTCTTGTCCGCCAGTGTCAAAGCAGGGTGGAGGGATACGAATGGGACGTGAGCACGGCAGGCCGGGCCCTGTCACTGGGTGCAATTGTGTGAGCGAGAGCAACCCATCAGGACGGCGGCAACGGCGCCGCCGCCAGCGCCAGCATCGCGGCAGGCGGCGGCCGCGGCCGCGGCAGCGCCGCAGGCGCACCACTGCTCGCGGCAGCTCAGGAACTGGAGCCGCAGGTCGCCCTCCGAGTAGGCCGCCATGCGCCGCAGGTAGCCGATGACGCGGAGGCACTCGGGCAGCTGCTCGAATGTGTGTGACAGCGGAGCGGGTTTCTTTTCAGCAGGTGTGCATGGCGCCTATGTGCATCACGGGCCGAAAACGCAATGGTGGAAAAAGACCACGTGTGCAACGTACGCAGGGTGACTGCACGAAGGAGGGCGTCGGGCGGGGTTGCATGGTGTGGTCAGGCCCGGCAGCGAGCTCCTTCGAGCAGTCACCCTGCGTACATTACACATGTGACCTTTGCAGTGCGGCCGGCCCCGGTAGCGCGCGCGGGGGTCTTCACCTGTATGCTGCCCCTCAGCCGCTGCAGCAGCTGCGACAGCATGGAGGCCGACACCTCTGCCGCCTGGCGCTGCAGCAGCTGGATGATGGGCAGCTCCGGGTGCAGCAGCCCCAGCCTGTTAAGAGGGACAGGTTGTGGGGTTACCCTCACATGCGGGGCCACGTGTTGTACACACTCACACCCACGTGGACACGCACACATAGTCGCAGGAAAAAAATCACACAAACACACAGCCACAAACACACACACGCGCGCACGCGCGCGCACACACACACGCACATGCACACACACACGCTCACATGCACACACACACACACGCACATGCTCACGCTCACACACTCTCACAAACAAATACACACACATACACATTGCATACACGCAAGAACACACACGCATACACAAACAGACGCACGCACCCATGGCGACACACGAGCCCCCCACCCAACAGCATCAACAGCACGACCGCACACCGACCTGTTGATGAAGGCGGCCAGATCCAGTGCCTCGTCGTAGATGCCGTTGCGAACGCACGTGTCCATCAGCTGGGGCGCCTCCAGCAACTCAAGCAGCGTCGCCTGTTGCGCTGGGGGTTCGAGGCGGTGGGGGCCGCGCCGCTCGGTGTCGGGGAACGGCGGACGGGTTGCGAGCGGGGCATCGACAAAGTGCAGCCGCTTTGGCGCGCTGCAATGATGTGGGCGGGCCTTCGGCGGGGTGGCGCGGGGGCAGCAGCTGGCGTGGCACAGGGGGGGGG